TCATTTCCACCAAATGATTTACTGGCAGGAATGTTTAAGCATAAAGAAAATAGGAGGCTAATATTCAAATATATTTAGGAATTAAACTTTTAAAGTAATAAATATTAGTATCGATAATGAAAAAATAATTCTAATAGTTATATTTCTCCAGCTAAGGAAAATAAAGATGTTTCTTCTGTGCAATCTGAATCAGCCAGCACAGCTATAGATTTCATATATTGAATACTCAAGAGAAAATTGGTTATTATTTTTGGATATTGGATAGTAAATACTGTTTCTGGCATTTATATCACGACGTTTATCTACATTGGGAAGTTTAGGAATACGCAGAGAAAAAAAAATAGGCATCGTCTGCACAGCTTATACTGTGCAACCTCTTTTGTTTGTCAAGTACAGGCTGGGGAATGTCTCTGCCAATCCAAAAAAAAGGGAAACTATGTAGTTTAAAAGATCTTGTACCTATTAATGGTATGTTTAATCGATAGGCGAGTACGTAGAGAAGAGGTTCTGTCATCGGAGTTTTCTTCTACCGAAGATGCCAGAACACAGACTGATCAAGAGGTCGGACTTGCCAAGCAGCCGTCTGCCTTGCAACGCCCTTCCAGCCCAACTGGGAAACCGGACAACAGGTTTCCCTATTTATTACCTTTCAGCAAACATCGGGAAGCCACATACCGGGCAAAAAACCTCCTCCACTGCAAAATTGATGCTTTTTGCAAGCAGACAGACATAATTGCTGGAGAAACTCACTCTCTTGCCAATTTAACCGAGTCCTGCAACCTTGCTCACTTGGTCTGTAGTTGCTTTTTTACTTTTCTACTCGCGTTTTTCAACACGTGACTTGGTAATCCCTCGGGGTGGCTGGGTTCCGTGCGCTACGTCTGAAACTGCCGTCAGCCTCAGCGCTTCTCTCCCGGCGGGTTTTTTGGCTTTCCCCGGGAAGCGTGTGCAGCAGTGCCAGACAACGGGCGGAAGGGTTGCTCCTGTCTCCTGCAGATCTGGGTTTCTTTCTACGAGAGACTTCGCTGCCGAAACCTACTCCTCACCTTTTTCATCCTTACTGCGCTATCAGAAACTGACTGGTTCTCGTCGACGGTCTATTTTAAATAGAGAAAACCCATTTTCTATGGCAAAACGCTGAAAGTCAGCTGGAAAAATAGTCCTATCGGTATAAAAACGTCCAGAGGAGATTGAAATAAATGGGTCAGCGTTTCTTTATTTTCGAAAACGGAATTGCAGAAAAGCTTTGCGCTGCTTGGCGTACTTTTGTTTCGAGTAAAATAAAAGACCAAAGAGCAGCTATACTGCAAAACTAAGAGAACGAGGCACGCGTACAGCATTCAGATAAAAAAAAAATAAATTTAAAAAATCCAGTTTTCTTGTGCCTGGGGGGGTGGGGGGGGAGAAGGCGGGAGGGAAGAAATATTAGCATATTTTGTAAAAAGGAATTTGTTCCACCAGTAGTACTGGCCACCCTGTTGAAGAGTTTTAGAAGATCCCTGAGCACATTAGTTTCTGACTCTTAACCCCGGCTCCAAAATGATAGGGCTCATGTTGTTGCTAACGAGATGGATTGTCATTCACAGTTAAGTCAATCATAAGGTGCTTATCTATTTACCCTTTTTTTTTTTTCACCAATCAGCACAAAGAACTGTCAGAAAATAATTTTTTTCTTTTAAAAAAAACAATAAAAAGGGCATAAAAATTTAAACAATCAATGTTTTGTGACAGTGGTTTAGGATTATTATCTGGCTGCCCCTCAACAACAGACAAGTGATTCAATCGACATTCCTTAGCAAAAAAAAAAAGAAAAAAAAGAAAAAAAAAAGAAAAATCCTGTACAAATATGTATTTTTCCCTGAGGGATCAAGGTTACACCCGCAAGTGCTCTATGTACATATTGCACTGTAGAGGAATGAAGAACATGTGCAAAAAAAGCAACAATGATTGAAGCTTACTAATCAAACCTTTTAATCGTGACTGCTATGTCATCTTGCATTTTGGAATGTCGGAACACAGCTATTCCTTTAGTCTAAAATGTAAAAAAAAAAAACCCAAAACCAAAAAAAAAAGAGAGAAAGAAAAAGAAAAACACACCTCTACTATGGCACATTCAATGAAATAAAAAGTTTTCCAAAGACAAATAGACAAATTCCATCAAGAAAATAATACAAAGTTCGTTCGTTTGTGGTTTTTTTTTTTAGTTTTTTAGAAAAATTACATTACTTTCTTTCATTGTTTCACATTACAAAATCTTTTTTTTTTTTTAATGTTTACACAAATCACATTTTATTGCAGGAATATTTCAAGTGCCATCAAACATTTATAGAAGGGTTAAAAAAATAGAAGTCTCTCTAAAGTGGTCCAGACAAGGCTTTGTATAGAATAAATCTTTTTTTTTTTTTTCCACCTTCTATTTTTGACTTAAGTATTTTGAATACATTTTCTTTATTCCATTGACACTTAACAGCCTAGAAGCAGCCACTCACACATACCCACGCGTAGATTCATGTGCGCGCACAAACGTCCTCTCTCACACACACACACACACACACACACGGAGATCTTGGTATCCCTACTAAGATCGAGAAGCTTTAATAAAGAACAACCAAACTTAAAACCAGTCTCCCTTTCCACCTAATCCCATCGTTTTTGAAACGTCAAACAACACCCGAGATGCTGAAGTCTATTCGGGCGGTTCCGATGCCAGGATGGTAGAGCGTGTCTTTCCCAAAAAGTCAGAAAAACATCCCCGTGGATACGTGTAACGCCCCGTCAAAAAAAAATCTCTTGGCCGACTTTAAGGGACGCGCTGTTCAAAGCCAACAAATTCTTCCTTCAGCTACCCCCGTGGTTTTGTTTGCAGCGAACTGGGCCGATTCCGAAAACGCTCGTGTGAATATTCACTGATCCCCAAATGTAGTTTTTAACTGAATATTCAGTTGATCACCCCGTGCCGGCCCGTAGTCCCCGAGTTTCTACAGAGCGCATCTCCTCTGCCCCTGGCGTTCTCGCCTGCCGCTCTGCCCCTTTCCTACGTCGCCTGTCAGAAAAGCCTCCTTGGCAAGAGAAGCCTTACCAGGACGCCTGCCACGCCACAGCCCTTTTTTCCCCTCTCTACGAAAGAGCAAAACAAAAATAACATTCTCTTGCCAAGTGGCTGTTAACCGCGCTCGGGAAAGCACAAGGCAGCGGGGATACGTCTGCACGGCCCGATGGAACAAGGGGCCGGTACCCAGGAGCTCCCATGGACAAAAATGACAGCGCTTCCCGGCCTGGCCCTATCTGGACCGTTTTTCCGGTTACGTATTTCACTAGTAAATGCTCCAAAGTCTGTGTTGTCAATGACTTCTGGGTGTAAATACGCTGACCTAGATACCAAACCAAGCCACCGGCACCTGGATGCCTGGCGTCAAGCACTAACATCCACCAGGAGAAGGTAAGAAAAGGATGCGACCGGGAATTAATCCCAAAAATCTTTTGCCTGGTAGCCTACTTAATGTCAGAAGTAGGAGTTGTATCTTGCTCTCTAGGAAAGTACGGGTCTTACTTCATTATTCATTAGTCGACACTGAAATTAAGTTTAGTTGATCTTTACAGGACTAGCACCTAAGGCTGGTCACATTCAGAAAACATTTGTTAGTTCAATGGGTTGCTTTTAAAACTAGGACCACACATTAGACTGAAAGTACCAAATCATGCCAGTTACTCCGGTAAAGTAAACAATGGTTCTAGGAGAAGTGTTTCAGTGAGACTCGGTGAGAGAGCACGTGCCGGGCTGCGAGCCGCCTCTTCTAAACTTTTTAATAGGTGTCGTGTCTCAATTTGAGCCCAAACGAAATGTTCCCATCATAGAAGAAACTTTTTTTTTTGCTTACAATAATGCACTTCTTTCTGAAACAGGCTCCAGTGTGCTTCTGTTCACTCCTATCGCTTCTCAACGAATACAATACACGTAAGAGATTGGCTGCCCTTGGAAATTAAAGCGGTGGAGCACATTCTCATTCCTTTTTCTTTTTTAAAGTTCCCGTACTTCATCAGCAACTTGATTTGCGTAGGCCTACAAGGCACCCAGTTAGACATCTCATCCAAACCATCACTCTGTGATGTCGTTGATTGTGAATCGGCTGCCTTCCCAACTAGGTTTACTTGCCAAATTTGCCCAGAGACAATATTCTTCACGAAGGGAAGGGTAATCAATCACGATAAAGACTGCAAAAATTCGCCTTATGGGTCGGTTGTGCAACGTGGGAGTCTCAATTTCAGAGTGACGGAATGCGGATTTACGATATTCATGATTTCCAGGCGTAATACAGAGTACAGGACACGGCTCTCTAGCAAGGGTGTGCCTTTGCTTTGTTAGCCTGTCCTCACCCGATAAACTTTTAAAGTGCGTCTTTTTAAACGAGGAGAGCAAGGGACTTTCTGTTGGGTTACCTGAAATTGCACGGCTGGATGCTGGAAGAACACGGGTCAGTTGTCTCATCTCCCTGAAGTCTAAGACAGACCTACGGATAGGCTAGAGTTTGGAGTCTGAAAGCATTGTTTACAATACGGAGTACGAAAGTAGGTATTATTATGTATAAAAATCGCTTTTCCACATACGTGTCGTGCGCACATACTTTTCCTGTAGATGCAGACTTGAGTAAACACCTTCAAACCTGGATTTACGGCGGGCAGAAACACGCTTGGTTGTGAGCAGCTTCACTTTCAAGAACGCCGTGTTACTCATTTGTCACTGACCTGTAATCGCTTCGTTCAACTTTCACCACGGAAACTCGGCACCTTTGAAAATGAGGCTTTCGACTTGTGCACCTCGGGCACGGAATTTTAAACATCCGGGTTTGAAAGATTTGAAAATAAAAGTACCTTTGAATTTAACAGCAGAAAAGCCCGTTTCAATTTAGAAAACTGTCATTATTTTTAAGTCTTTTTTTAAAAAAAAAATTTGTAATCATTTCAGGATATGACCAGCCTCTCTTTAAAAGTAACATGGAAAACAGCAGCATAAATACCTCCCAATGTACCAGTACCTGCCAAACCTTTTTCAGTTAAACTTGAATTTCTGGTGCACATGCAACACAACAATGAACACGCTAGCATTTAATTTAAAGAAAAAGGTGCAAAATGAAAGTGCCTTATCAATTCAACAAGAAAAGCTATACCAGTAACTACATTTTATATTAATTAAAACAATATATAAACAATATCTCTTTTGCTATATATAGTCTTCATGCCCATTTACCCTGTAATATATTATAATGCTATTGTTGCTATTGCTATGGACCCTTTTCATGCCGTTCTGTCTACTGGCAAACAGTGGTAGGTGAAAAAAATCGTCCTTCATGAAACAATGAGCAAGTTGTGCAAACTGATGCTGAACTCTCTGCAATGCACACCAGTCGCCGATTATTAGGTGGACTCTCTGTTCTGATCAACAAATTGATTGTTCTGTCAAAAGTCTGGGCAGTGAACTACAAGAGAAAAAAACGACCTTCTGACATTAGTACCCTCAGTCTGTGTAAACAGAGGTCAAGGATTGAGGAGTTGAGACAGAAAAAGGGTCCATATTTGTAGGCATAATGGAAATCATATGCATGAGAAAAACAAGTTCAACTTTGTGTCATTGTTTCCCATCCTTCGCCTGACCCCGACCGCCAAGAGATGTGCAGTGTGTTGGCTCCCTAGGTCTGTGCAGGGCCATATAAAGTGTCTTGGTTTGCCTTTTTTTTTTTTCTTACTTTGTTTTTTTTTTTTTCCTCCTTTCTTTCGTTTTTAACGTTTGTACTTCGGACATTCTAGAAGTGTTTAGGTGATACGTTTACCCATCAATTTGCATCGCTGGCTCAAATTCTGAAGTGAACAACTCCTTGTAAAGTGGAGGAAAATGAAGTCGTACAATGTCTGGGTATATTGCTTTAAATGCCATAAGCTTTTCTGTATGTCGTCCACACAGTGCTCTTAAAGTAGACACTTTGCATATTAACTGCAAAAAAACGAACAGAAGTCACAGGGTCATACATGGAACCAGGCCTCCCAGTCTTGCTCTTAGGATTAAAGCTCTCTTAAACACTTTACCTTAGCAATGACATTTCAGAAGTGTTGTCGTGAATGTTTCTTATGTTAGATTTAAAAAAAAATAATGAAAAAAGACACTACAAAGCTATTTAAGTAATAGATAAATGCTATTTGTGAAATCATCCTTTCTTAACATTCCTAGGAAGATGCATCCGTAGGTGCCTGCCAAGCACTGCACCTATGCAGAATTATTGCACGGCTGGATCTTCAGCCACGCAGCTTAGTCAGTCCTGGCTACTTTTAAACCCACTGTGAATATAGCGGAGGGAACTGGAAGTGCAATAGATAGGGCATTTCTAATTTATGCCAAATAAGGCGAAAAGGAACAGACCAGAAAAAAACCATGCACTTCAAAATTATCACTAGGGTACTCCCTGAACTTACTGAGTAAATTATTGGTATCAAAGCACAGGGAAGAGACTTTCTTCCAGCAAAGGTATTCTGGGAAGAGAATCACATGAGCTAGGATTTGAAATGAGAGCGATCTGAAAAGCCGGGGCTGGGCGATCCTGCTTCGAAGCTCTGTGGTGTGACTTGGCTTTCCAGCTGTGCAGCATTCTGGAAGGAACTCCCTCTGTAAGGAAGTCCCTATCCCTTCCCTGTACTCCAGATTTGTGTTTTCTGACGTCACACACCACTTGTCCATTTTTGAAAAAAAAATGTGAAGATATGTTAACATAATAATGTAGTATTTTTTTTTTTTCTCTAGGTATCGTATTTGGAAGAACTCCTTAGAAAAAAGGCTGCGTGTGGCACTTCTCGTGGAAGACTGAAAAACGAGGTTAGTGTGGGTATTGCATGTTGTAACAACTTCCTTGTCATGCAGGCAGGGATTTCACAAGGATTAAGTCATGCCTGTTGTGGAACTGAAATAGAATTCTGTGTGACAGGCCAGCTGGGTAGGAGAAATTGGATAAAAAACCTACATTGCTCTTCATAAGATTCAACATTATACTTCTTTTCAGACCATTATCAACATTGTTCCCTAGTACCTCATCATTTTACCTCTTCTAGTTCTTAGTAAATAGTTTCAGCTCAGCACCTCGACTTCGAACAAAGAATTCTGAGGTTATAAATAACAAATGAGCTGCATAAAAGCTTTTACAAAATAATTAGGACACCGTTCATGAGAAAGCGCGCTTTGACAGTGCCGCAGCACGGCACGGTTCGATTCTTACCTTTGTTAGAATTCCGTCTTCTCGGTGGTTCTTCTGTAGGACATGCTGAAGCGCTAGCTGGATCTTCTGCTGGAGTTTTTCAATTTTTACTTTCTCCTGAAGCCACGAACGATCTAAACAGAAACGGAGTTAACGCTTCTAGTACTGTACGCATCGATCTCTGCACTAGGAAGCACTAAGTCTGTTACAGATTCATCTTGTTCGCTGCCTTCCTTCCACTTATTAGACACTCTCGTAGAGAAAATTAATAGGCTTTGGTGCGTATTTATCACGCGCGTTTAAAATTACTTTTATAAAGCCCTTAATTAGGAGAATGCAGAGTATCCGAGTAAGATTTATTAATCATTTGCTAACAAGGTCTGTCGAATGCAGGATATTTACAAAACGAAGCTCGCGGCTTTTTAGTGGGAAAGCGAATAGATCGCGTAACCAACAGGTAGTTGGAGCAGATCTTCCTAAGATCTACAGTGACATACAGCAAAGTCTGAAGCAAATATTTGGCTATCAAAAAAAAAAAAAAGAAAGAAAAAAGAGCAGCTCCTAAACTTAGCATTTTCCTAGCAGAAAAATACTATTAGATTAGGATTTCCAACTTCACCGATTTATTCCTGAATTCATACTTTTGCTGTGTTTACTATAATAAAAATTGTGGTCAAAAAAGAGGATGACATTTCACATTGTCCGACAGCCTTAACGTTACCATTAAAACGACTTCAAAATATAAACGGCCTGTACCAAATAAACCCAGAGTAACCCTTTTTCTCTTACCTGCCGACATTAAAACAAACGCGGAAAACAAAGCTATCTCATCTTCTGTCAGGTGCATAGAACATAAACTTTTTCCAAATTCAAACACAAAACTAATGAAGTCTTCACAACCTGCCAAAAAGAAGGGACAGCTCATGGCACGTTGTTTAGAAGTAGTTCGGAGCTACAGAGTTGTCGCTTGATTCTGATGAAGATGGAAAATGGATGTAAACCACTTTTACACGCTCCACCTTTTCCGCATTTAGTTCCTTTTGCCGTAAACAGGGCTAAAACTCAAGCCATCTGTGTGGCCAAAAATTGGCTTAGCTTTGTTTCTGTTCGAAACGGAACTTTCTCATGTCCCTGCGGACTGGAGGTTCGAAACGTGCACTTGGGAAGTGCTGATTTTCAGACTCCTGAGCACAGGGAAGAGGCGGGGAAGGGAGGCGTAGAAGGAGCAGAGGGAGAGGCCGAGGTCTGAAAGCTTTTCCTGCAGCAAAGGAACTCTGCCTCCTCCTTTCATCCCTTCTCTGGCTCGCACAGGTGCGAGGTGGGTTACGGCTGCTGCTACGCACGCGGTTACACCGACTGCCGAAGCGGAGCCCTGACCGAAGGAAGAGCGCTCTCGTCTGCAGGTCTCAGCCCCAGCCCAGCCCCAGTTTCTGGGTGTCCTCGGCAACACGTGGAAGTTCTGCTTCACTGGAACCCACAAGGGTATTGTCTGAAGTGTTTACACTCAGACCTCCTTCCTTGAGGTGTTTTAAAAAGCCAGAGAATGCTTCAGTCATTGCCCGGCATTCTCAGCTGCCGCCCTCCAAAAGAGCTTACATCCCGAATCTATGCCCAGTGAAATGAATCCTTTTCAAATTAGCAAAAATACACAGAAAAAAATCTCAAAATTATAAACTGTGGTTTAATAAAAAAGTTAATTTATGGTATTTTACCTGCAAGTAACCGGACTTTGCATATTACAAAACACTATTAACGTTTGCACAGCAGTAATGTCAGTATATCCAAAATCAGCTTTAAAATCTGCTGCCTTTTCCAACAGGATATATAAAATGTTACATTAGAGATGAAATCTGGGCTTCTGGTCTCAATACCTGTGCCCAAACTGCTCTACCCTGATGCAAATGTTGAATTTCAACCCCACCAGGCCTTTTAGTGCATAGAGGTAAGCTGTTTTACCTCCCCAGATCAGCTCGGCCTCAAACAGAGCCGGCATGTCTGCTTACAAAATCAACAGTTAGAGCTCTGGAAATCTTTTACTGGAATACCATAGCCTGGATTTTTCAAAGCAGCCGTGCTCTTGCTTTTCCACCTTATTATTTTTATTCTGTTTCTTTAAGACACAACACTTGACATTTCCTTACCTAAGGACTTGAAAACCTCTGGGCTAGCATACTTGCCATCAAAGTAGACTGTGTTGTTCTGGGAGTCAAAGGCACGGCACATTCTGATGAACACAACCTCTAAAGACCCTAAAACAGAAAAAGCGCGCGTTTGATTCTTCAAGGAGAGACTTCAGTGACAAAGAGCGAGCAAGGCTCACAAAAATTTCCTGTGCTCTGCATTCAGTATCAGTCCAGCAGGGCGGTAGTTTTCTGGGGTGTAACAGCATAGTTGGATTTGCTCGTTGAATTAAAGAATTCTTAGAGACCCCTTCAGAAGTTTTTGCAAAAGCAACTTCATTAAGGCTAATAAACTCTAAAAAATTTGATTAATGAAGTCTCTGAAGTCAAAGCAGCTCACTCGGCTGCGTGTTCACAGAGTTTTGACAACTTTGTCCCACAGTTGTTAAACTGCATTTCTCCTCCGACGTCTTGCGCTGGATTTTTACACTGAAATATGTTCCTCCTTAGCTCTAAGCCAAAATAAAAAGGTTGCCTCCAACTCTTCCATTTTGACACACCCAAAGCTCCCTAGGTTCACAACGAAAATTTCATACGTGGATTTGAACTTGCTCTGTCTCAAGTGACCAAGACGGTGTATTGCTTCAAACAAAAACACGGGCAATTTGTAAGGTTCTGCCCTTGGATTATTTTAACTGGGCATTGTACAAGACACGTATAGACGCGTATACAAGCCCTGTGCACAGGTAACACCTTCCTCAGGCAAAACTAATAGAAGCAGACCTTAAAACTGACCCACGTACCTGCTTTCAAAAGCACAATTTGATCGTTTTGACACAGTTCCATAAAGCCATCGATGCGTTTGGCAAATTCCACTACGTACTGTATAGCTTCTGTTATTTTGACGGCGCACAACTGCCACATTACCTCCCGCTGCTGTCGGAGAGAGAAGGAAAAGTGAAAAATCACCGGCCAAGGTCTGGAAAGTCGTTTTTCGTAAAGTAAAACTGAGTTGGAAAAAACCAGAAGAACTCAGACTGAATTCCCTCCAGCACTCCTGGCTACAGTTTGCTTATAAGAGAAGTAGAATCAACCTCGAAGTCAAAGCCTTACGTGGATAGATAACAACACAAACACGCAAGATTTCTTCAGTGATGCCAGAGGAGATCCAGGTTGGAGTATTTTTATTTCCTAAGCCAAAAATGTTGAGGTAACTTGAAGTAAATTCTGATAACTTCAGTGGAAATTTCATCTGCTGCATCAAAAAAAAATGCCACTTTACACTAGCAGTGCGTAAGCCCTTCTCTTCTGTCAACTTTGGTTTTTTGTACTGAATGTAAATGAACTAACCAGCTCGTATAAACATTGATGGAGATGACCTTGTTAACAACCTAAAGGCATGCAAGTAGTGATATTTTCATATGTTGATAAGAATTCGGAATGAAATCACTTAACAAGTAGAGAAAAATAGATCCTTCGAGGTTATATATTTTTTGTGCAAATCAAGTTTTCCCAAAGTGGCTATTTGGTAAGCGGTTGGTGGCACGTTGGAAATACGAGCATGGATGAAACCTGACGATACCCACTGGTGGGACGGCAGCAGCGCGTGGTAACGCCGGAGCGCTGCGTGACACCGCTGGGATGGATCAGGATTACAACCGGGAGCTGCAGGTGCTCCAAACAAAACACGCCAAATGAAATTACCAAACTCGGTGGCTTCAGCTTTCTGTTGTTGTTGATGCAGGAGATTATGAATTAAGAAATGAAAATAACGCGCCGTTTAGGATTGAAAAAAGTTCTCTGCTCTTCTCTTATCCTTGTTTCGCAACCCCAGGCAGACAGATTGCAGGGGTAGGGCTTTGCCTTTTGTTGTAAAATGCAAAGGGTATCCTACCCATCTTACCGCTCTGTTGATCCCAGCGTGTTATTTTTTGAAAACACACAAAAGATACACATTCCTGACGGTAAACAGAAAGCAGTGAAAAAGTGAATTTTGCAGTGGAAATAACATGCTTTAAAAAAAAAAAAAGAAAAAGGCATGCCACAGTTTGGCATTCTTTTGTACCTTGTTCTGATAGTTCTCAATTTCTTCCTGCAGAAAAGTCTGCCATGTTATCTGCTGCAGCTCCTCTCTCAAGTACTGGCAAGTTTCCATGTGTGACTTGGAAATATTCTGCGCAAGATGTTCTAAAAGAAAGACCACAAAGTGCCACGCGTCAAAAATGCAAAGCTGTGCCTTCAGACACCAGCAAGCCAACATTTCCCAGTTGCAATGGGGTGGGATGGGAGGGCATGGGGAGAAGGTTAAATGTTAGAGAAAGATGATTTAATTTCTGATCTTCTTGGATTTACGAAAATAAACACATTTAATGCAAACCACTAATAGACTCGGGGAAAACGAAGCAGAAGCGTGGCCCAGCTCCTCGCGGGCTTGGCACACCCATTAGAGGGCACTCGGCGCTCACGCACGCGCCTCTCTCCATCCAGCAAAACCCTTCAGGCAGAGTCCTTCCACCCAGGGGGCCAGATGTTTAGGCAAGCTTGAGTTTATTTTTGAATAAATAAACCTGTGCTGGGGACAGGCTTCTTTCTCACCCGGCGGTGGGCGCGAAAGAAAGCTTTGCAAGGTCAAAGAGCTCCCGAAATAAAGGTGAAACCTGGGAGCGTTCAAGCCACTTCAAGCAAATTCAGGAAAGGGACCTTGGTGCCTTTAGAAAGGTAAAGTCAGCTTTGAAACCTGGGCTGAGGGTTACGCTTAAGTAGAGCCACAGAAAAAAAATCCAAATGACTGGACCTCTCAGGCCAGGGTACAAGAATCTGTGTGGGGACACCAAGTACAGGACACTGTCTGTCACGTACAGGGAATACAACAGCACTGCCGGCCAGGCAGCAGATCTTCAAAACCTAAACGCCGATGTGTTTTATCCAACAGAAGTTTTCTTATAAAGAAATACAGACAGCTACCACCTGCCCAGTGTTCTGTCAAGCTAGCACACGAGGCTGCCTATGAGGGAAAAGTTTATTTTCTACTCTCGTTATCATTAAAAAATACTAGGAAACTACACTTACTAGAGAATCCAGATAATTAATCTAACACATTAAAGACTCAAAGCTTTTTTCTCTTCATCTTTAGAGTAGTTGCTTAGTTAACTGCACATGTTTTTAAATTTCCATATGACATTTAAATTCAAAATATGCTGATTCCTACACCTGGTTAAAAGACTCATTTATTTATTAAGAAATACCTGATCCCATAAACCTTTAGGAACATTTTCAAAAGCATGCTGAGCCTTTAGACATCTGAACTCCACTTCTCCTTTGTCTTTGCCGTTTCTCCTGTGGCTGACCAAACCCAACTCTTTCCAAACTGAGCTGCTGGACCCATCAGTCTGTTTAGCATCACACTGAATGCATTAATAGTTTGAGGTAAGGTTTGATCTGAAAAGGCTGTCTGAGGTTATCTGTACCGCCTGAACAATCAATCACGTACAACGTAAGCTAATCTAGCCTTCGGTTGTCATCACAGCTTTCGTGTATTTCAGAACAATTCTTTCATTTTTGTTCAAGCGTGAACTTAAAACTTCTGCTCTCACAGCAGCAGCCGACAGCATTAACCCCGGGCCGCTGCGAGACACAGAAGGTGACACGTTACCACGTTATTCGCAAACCTTGGCCTCGGTTCTGTTTCACCACACGCCTAAAGACTTCCACTGAACGGCCCCCGCCTTTCTAAACTGAAACCTAAGGCTGGAAGATAAACACTCTACAGACATGGGTTGGTAATGTCAACGCTGGGCACCCAAATCACGCTCTGTAGGCTTCAAAGGCAAGCACTGGGGAAATAAAGGTAAGCAACACCACAAACTTGCTGTTGGCCAGCCTTCCAAACTCAGTAGCTGGTCTAGCAAGAAAAAAAAAGCCCTTTTTTTTATATTTAGATCTTTTAATAACCGCCACGAGAATATTAACAGCCATTTGATTGAGATAAAGCTGCTACCACAGCCTTTATCATAATTTTTTTCTTCTCATCTTTACTCGTCTGTAACTGAAGTCATTTAAACTCAAGCAAGGCACAATAGTTTGGCTGTCACACCGAATTCTAACGCAGAAAACTCCTTTCTGCACCACAAGGATGTAAAAAGTCAGCCTTCTTGTCCCGTCTTCTCTGCGGAATTTCTCAAAAAGCCGTGAACTAAAATCGAGCACAGTTTCACATACGCTTGCCTCTAAAAATGTTAGCCAAAAGAGAAAAATTTCCCTTGGAATACCTGGTTTTTTCAAACTATTTTTAGGTTTTTCATAATGGAATAATTATCAAAAATGCTGCAAAATCAGTTTTTGAATGCCTGACTGCTTATATAAGTAATAGAATCTTAAGGCCACTTCTCTAATGCCCTGTTCCAGTTTGCTTATAACCAGTTCAGGCAGCCCGCTCTAGCTCAAGCCTCAGATGTTGACAAGTCAAAGTTGTGGAACTCAGCCCTCGTGGAATCATTCAGGGAAGAGTTTAAAGTAAAACGTGCTCATTAATGTGGTCTTTATATGGCTTGTAGGGGAAAAAGCAAAAATTGGCAACACTCA